CAGCCTTGGAGACTGCAGCACTAGATGGCAGTGCTAAGGAACAGGTACAGTAGACCGCTCTTAGAAGTGCCAGGCATTAGCCAATGGAGACACTTTAAAAGAGCAGTGCCACTGCTAGTGGGAATGCAAACTAGTACAACCACTATGGGAAACTGTTTGGAGGTTCTTCAAACTGCTAAACATGGAGCTTCCCTACGACCCAGCTACCCAAAAGACACAAAAACACTGATTCAAAAATATACCTGCACCCCCATGTTTATTGCTGCTTTATTTACAATTGGAAAAACATGGAAGCAGCCCAAATGCCCCAAAGTAGATGACTGGATAAAAAAGATGTGGTACATATATACAATGGAATATTACTCGGCAACCAAAAAAGAGAAACACATGTCTTTCGCAGCAATTTGGGTGGAGCTGGAAAAGATCATGCTTAGTGAGATAAGCCAGAAAGAGAAAGAAAAATACTGATGGTTTCGCTCATAGCAGGAGTATAATGGACCAGGCAAGAAAATAATAAGAATAATGAACAGCCATATACCAGAGACATTTTGTGGGGGTGGAGTGGGGAATGGGATCAAAAATGGGGAGGGTGGGGAGAGAAGTGCATGGGACTATGGTGATGGCACAAGGGTGACTTGGTGATGGGAAACCCGCGGGGATTACAATTGACATGAAAAAAAAATGTACAAAATGATGTAAAAATAAACTTATTAAAAAAAAAAAAAGCAGTGCCAAGGGATCAGGCACCAGTGTACCGTCTTTCAGAGATAGGGCACAGGCTGATATTACCAGTCAGAAGGTGATGTCAGAGTTAGGACTAGTGGCAGGAGCAGGAGGCAGGCTGCAGTTTAGAGAGATCACATGTGGAGGTCTCTGAAACCTTGGCTTATATCTCCTTCAGGAAACTGGCCTTTCAGTCCTGATTGGCTCATTTATGATTCTAGCTCTGTTTACAAGACTTGATTGGTCTCAGTTGAACACAAATCTGATTGCTCCACCTGTTGTTCCTGAGTGGGTCTCTAAACCTTGAATGGCACTTATGGAAACTCAAACTTGATCAGTCTGTTGGGAGCGTGACCCAGATTGGTCCATTTCGAAACCATTGTGATTTTAAAAACTGAAATCCCACCATTGTGTCAGAACCCAACCTATACTGAGGCCAGGTGGTCTGGTGTCAGTGTTGGGCCCTGAAGCGAAGTGAACATGGGTCCAAGTGGCCATATTACAGGTTACTGTGGCCTTCACAGCTTGCTAAGCTGAGCTGGGGTGAGGGGGGAGTATGCTGTGTGCTGCTCTGCCTACATATAGCTCTGGTCATTTTGGCGGCAAATGTGCTGCTGAGCAGTAGACCTCAGCAGAGCCAGTTATGCCCTGCCCCACAGAGCTATGGTGGTTCCTGTTACTGTTACAGGGTATCATCTTGGTATGTCACTGGTGGTTGCTCAGCGAGGATTTGGGCAATTAGATCCTTCTTTGACTCCCGGATGAGAGGTCTCACAGGGCCTGTGTGATGGACCTGGGGCTCCTTGGGAGGCTCCCACCTAAACCAGATACCAGTTGACACCCAGCTTGACAGACAGGTGGTAGACCCTGAGGACCTGGAGGAAGCTGGACCAAGGGGGCTTTTGGAGCCCAGGCGGCAGTAGGGACCATATACTCTGAGATGGTATCTGTCCTCTATCCATCTTCTTGAGGGTTAGTCACACTCAGGCAGCAGCCACTAGACAGACCCCTCCCTTGCAGCCTTGGGTTTGGCAGCGACTGTCTTGGTATTGCAGTTGTGGTGGGACAGCTAGATAGAGTGTACCCTTTTTGAGCTGGTTGTGTTCTCCCACTTGGGCAAGCCCTTGCCTTTCTGACACAGACCTGTGGGATCAGAGCTCACTGTTGGCTCTTCTCAGTTATTTTTTGAGGTTATAACCTTGCTTGTGTTTGAGGATATTTCCTTGTATCACAGTTTGTCCTCATATAGAGACAATCCCTGGAAGGAGAGTTTTCTGGAGACACAAGGTGAGGAGTGGCCATTCTGGTTCATCTGTTCAGGCAGGTGTTCTGTGAAGGGCAGCAAAGCCCAGCTTGGGGAGAGTCCTTGAAGGGGACTTTGGCTGAGCAGCCCACTCTTGCATCTACACAGGGCTGTTCCCAGTATGCAGTTGGATCCCCTGAACAGTCTATATGGTTAGTGTTGGTCCTTGAGTGTAGAGGAGGGACAGCCACACCTAAGATTGGCTATGAATGTAGCATGATGTGCAGTTAGGGCCCATGTAACAGATGGGTGCTTCTGATAAAATGCTGAGATGGCTGGAAAGGAAAGGGGAAACCCTCTCTCTTGGAGGAGGGAGGGAATGTAGATTATTAAGCGAGATCAGAGTTGTCTACTTTATTGTTGGCCTTCTAACTTATGGAGAATGATCTCAAGAGGAGAAACAGGAGCAAAACCGCTTTTTAAAATGTGGTTTGCAGAACTGTGCTCACAGGTATCTGTTTACTTTCAGCTAACAAACATGCAGGACTTGCCTGGTTAGATGCCGCTCTGGGCAGCAGAAGGGCTGTGTGAGTCACTTGGACAGTGCCTCACAGAGTCCTGGCTCATGTCCTAGGAGCAATCTCCCTCCTGGACTCTGCCCCATATACCCTTACATAGCTTACAGGCAGAGACATTTATCCCAGTTCAGTTTCCTGTCATAAAGGTGTGTTCTAGCTTGTCAAGATGTTCCTGTTTCTGACCTCTGTGTTATTCATGCTCCTCAGGTTAAGTCACTAACAGTCAGTACTCACCGGATAACTGTCCATGTTATCTGATGTGTCTGACTAGGACGGAGCTGATCTGGCATCTGCTGTCACATTGGCCTTGGTTCACCAAGGAGCCTGGTGAGATTCCCCCCATCTCAAAACTGTTGCACAAAGACAGGGGGCAACTGCCTTGTCTCTATAGATATAACAGGGTGTACAGTGTCTGTATGGGGGTTTTTAACCTGCTGATCCTATCAAAAATGGCCAGCCTGGAACACAGGAATACTGTTTTTAGCTGGTTAGGAACCTGGCTTAGCCATTGTTTCTGCTTATCTGGGACATAAGCCTATCCCTCTCTCAGAGCTCTAAGCAACCCCCTCTGCGTCTTTGTGCATTACACCTGGGTTCCTGGTTCTACCTTCTATCCTTTTCCTCCCTACCTGCCCAGCCTCCTGCCCAGCCTGGCTGGGTGGCCAGTGCTCTCTAGCCATGTCCACAACTCTGGGTCACCTTATTGGTTGATCAGAGGCTCTATGACCCTCAGCTCTGGGCAAGTCTCTGTGTCAGGGTTTCCCTCACATTGCTGTTGGAAAGTAGAAAGAATGGGTATGGTCCTGGAGGCACAGGGGACGAACTCTTCTGCTCAGTTTCTTCTCTAATTGGAAATGTTCAGTGACTTAGATAATACCAGGTGATGTCTCCCCGTCTCCAGCTGTGGAGCTTGCTTCATCAGAGTTGGTGTCTCTTGTCCTCCTGCGTGCTGTGTCATGCTTCTCTATATAGCTTCTCTCGAGGCACTGGTCAGGTTTCCCCTAGTGTATGTGTCTGCTGTACCCAGGCTTCTTTGCCATCAAGAACATGTTGCTGGCCCAACGGGTTAGGATGCAGCACTGCGAGCTAGCCGCAGCCACTTCATGTGAGTTTGATCCCCCACCCCAGAGGTAACCTGCGTGGCGCAGCAGACTTTTCTGTCTCACCCGTTGGCAGTGTGCTTTGATGATCTGCCTGTTCTGCTCTCCGCTCTGTGTCTGATGAATCCTCTCACAGTCCCTGCATCTCTGGCCTGTACCCCAGTTCTGTACGCATAAGTAAATAAATCTTTAAAAAAAGAACATGTTGCTGCCACCTCACCTATTGCAGACTTAAGGACATGGATGGGGGTAGGGCCTTAGAATGCACATGGAGAATGTTCAGTGTGTTAATTTTTAATTTTTGTTGTTTAATTTTTCTTGTGATGTTAAAACAGATTTGCACATCTCTTAGCATGGGATTTTTTGAGGAATTACAGAATTGATCCTACAGCTCCATGTACATAGTCTGTTAGTGTCCTGTACTGTCAGGGTACTGTTCAAACCCTGTACAGTCTGTCAGGGTTTTTTTGTTTGTTTGGAGTGGCCAGAACATTTTCTAACACCAGCTAGCATGAACTTGTTTAATTTGCTCAGAACCCTGACCTACTTTGTCCTTTTTTTTTTATAAGGAGGCCCATCTTAAGGGAAGAAGACAGGCCAACAGTCCCAGCCTGATGTGCCCCTTTCTTTAAAATAAAAGCACCTGTGTTCTGAATTTTGTGTGCATGTGCTGCCATTCAAGGTTAGCTAACATTTGCTTAGGTGCACAGCCCTTCTCAGCAGAGCTTCGGCTTAATGAAAAACTGTGATAGGATATTATTTCTTACTCTTCATTTGTTGGCAGTGGTGTTTTAAAGATGTTTTCCACATTTGTATAGTCTGTCTCTTTCTGATGTCCCTACTAGAAGTTAGGTCGTGTCTCCTTGGTCTCACCTGGAGAACCTTCGTGTCCCACGTAGGGAGCCTTAGCTTTGGGAGGGACTAAGAAGTGTCTCGATTGGTCCCGTTTTGCAGAAGAAACAGGAACCAGGTTCCTCTGCTCTTAATACCAGAGTTGGGGGGGAAGCCAGGCAACGCAGAGGGCAGGTGGCCACTCAGCTATTTGATGTGCACTTGATTTCATGATGATTGTGAATGATACCTTGGCCTGTATTTTTGCATCTTTGAATTGGGGTTGTCTGTTTTGCTTTATGGTGGTGCGTTTCTAGTACTCTTTTCTTATGGCTCTTCATTCTTGCCCTCTTGCTAAGCTATCTTTCATTGCTTTGCTGAGTGCTCCTCCATCCCTCTCCTTGACCTTGCCAGGTTGGTGTGCCAGGGAACATCACCCCAGCTACTGCGCAAGGTCTGCAGACCTTGAACCCTGCAAGAACGGACTCTTTAATATATGTCAACATTTCTTCTTTTGTGTTTTAGCGAGGATGCCATGAGAAAAGCTGGCGTGGCCCACAGTAAATCTAGCAAGGATATGGAGAGCCATGTGTTCCTGAAGGCCAAGACTCGGGTAAGGCTTTGATGGGCAGCCCCTGACAGAGAGGCTAGGGCCGGGGAAGGGTGTCATACAGCCTTTGGAAAGCCTCTGTTCAGGTGCCGGAGAATGGGGACAATGCTCATTGATTGGTTATTGGCACTGTCAGCTTTGCCTACAGCCACTGTGGGTTTTCCTGTCTGTCCATGGCTCAGACACAGGGAGAGTACCCAGGATGCAGGCCCAGCCTCCAGCCCTAGTTCTCACTGCTGACACCCTCTATTTGTTGTCAGCACCCACGAGTCCTGAAGAGTGTTCATTTATGTGCCAACACTCCTATAGAAGGGGCCAGTTCTGGATAAAAATGGACTCTGTCCTTAGTCTGAGCATTCCAAAGGAGTCCCCACCTAAATCCCACAGAGCATCTGTCTAGAGTCTTGTCCCTTTTTGTCTAGTAAATGGAGGTAAAGTTCCTGCAGGTTGAGACCTAGACCGAGGAACTAGGCATAGGAATGTCACAGGTGGAGTGTGTCCAGGGCCAGGTGCCATAGGCTTCTTGTGACCATCTCTTTTCATCTGTTTGCTTTCCCTGGGACAGAGCTATTTTAGTAGAAATGAAGCAGACCAGAAGCATAAAGGAGCCAAGTGGTTTGTCTAAGGTTATCTAGCATATGCAAGGTGCAACTAATGCCTGGGACTTCGTTCAGTGGCACACTTGCCCTGTCCCCTTGTGCAGATCTGACCCTCAACATCATTGATCTACTCTACGCACTGTTGAAGCTCTCAAACACCCTTGTGTATTAAGAAAAAAGCAGATTCTATTTATGCTGACATTTGGGTATTGGTTTGGATAAACCAACTGTTAAGGAATATAGAGATCGATTGGTTATTTAGATGAGGTGAATTTTTTGAAATGGAAAGGTAGACGTCACCCACTGCAGAGGTTCTGTGTTTCTGAGTATGTGTAAGTGCAAGGAAGAACTCCAAGAGCATTCATTCTGAGGTAGGGCAGAGATGACTCTGTCCCATGATATATATGATAAGCACATCCCCTCTTCTAACAGTTTCATTGAGATCTAATTCACATACTATTTAAGTAACCCACTTATGGTGTAGAATTCACTGGTCATTAGGATGTTCACAGTTGAATAGCCACTACCACAATCTAGTTTTAGGATAGAAATTCTGTACCCATTAGCTGTCACCCATTTTTTCCCTCAACCCTCAGCCCTAGGCAACCACACACCTACTTTCTGTAGCTATGAATTTGCCATTTTTGAACTTTTCACATAAATGCAATCATATAGCAAGGTTTTTGTGACAGGCTTATTTGACTTCTTATAACATTGTCAAGGTTCTTTCATGAACTGTGGCATAGCATATACTTTATTCTTTTTATGGCCCAGCAACATCCGTTTTTATGGGTATACTGCATTTTGTTTATCCATTCTTCAGTTCATGAACATTTGGATTGTTTTCACTTTGGCCTGTTATGAATAATGTTTTTATGAACCCTTGTGTTTTGTGAGCTTTCCTGTGGATATACATTTTCATAGCTCTTGGATATCCACCTAGGACTGGAATTGCTGGGTCTTGTGTTAACTCTGTTTAACTTTTTGAGGAACCACCAAGCTGTTTTCCAAAGCACTACAACATTTCACATTGCCATCAACAGGATGTGAGTTTCCTGTTTCTCTACTCCTTGTTCACACTTGTTACTGTCTTTATTACAGTGATCAGAAAGAGTATGAACTGTTACCTCAGTGTGGTTTTGATTTGCATTTTCCTGGTGACCATTGATACTGAGGATAGGATGTATGTTCATCATCTTAGCTACTTCTCTTCTACCTCCTGTCTATCAAAGCAAAATATGCCTAAACCCCTACTTTAGTTCCCTAACAGAATGGGGAGCAGAACAGGCAGATCTACTGAAATGCACTAAGAGGAACAGCAAACAAAACAGGAGAGGTCTGCTGCACCATGTGGGTTAGCTTCCTAGCTGGGATTGAACTCAGGTCAGGGATGGAACTCAGGTCATCATGCTTATAATGCTGAGATTTACCCCCTAGGCCACCAGTGAGGCGCCCTACCTTTATACTTTTAAAGGGACCTTGCAAACCAAGGCCTTTGATTAATTCTGGTAATAGCTTCTGCTATCAGTTTCATCAAGGACAGTTATTTGAGTGCCCAAGAATTTAGGCATTAGAAACTTTCTAGCTGAGAGCTGCTAGGAAGGCCCAGGTGTACCTGGTTCATGGCTAAAGTCTAGTAGGCAGTTCTCCTTTGCTTTGTTGTCTAGAGGCATGACAGTCAGGGTCCCTGCTCCCTTAATAAATGTGCTTGTTTGGAAGCCTAATTGTGAATTCTGATTGATTGATTGGTTTTCATTAGTATGTGCTGGTTTTCAATAGCATGTGTTGTAGCACTGAGAGAACTGCATTATACTTTGTTTAATCATTGTGGCTAGTTTCTCCAGTTTACCTGTGAGGAAGTTGAGGTGTAGAGCATGTCATTGGTAGCATGAGTAGCTTGTTGGCTTGCTTTCTATCTACTTATATTTATTTATTTATTTATTTATTTTTTT